CCCGATGTGGTGCCAATCTGAAGCGAGCGACCGAGGCGTTGTTTCATGCGGCTGGACACGACCTGCTTGAGATTATGCGTGGCGCTTGGCCCCAACAGTGTGTAGGGTCTCGCGTCAGTGTCTGTGAGCTGCTCAAGCTCGCCCGGCATCCACTGATGCAGCGCAGCCGCTACCCATCCAACGCCACCGAGACCAAGCTGATGGCTGCCACCCTGAGCCAGCTGTATTGGTCTGCCGTCCACTCGGACTATACCGCTGAAGAGCGAGAGATGTGCTGGGCTTTGATTTTGGCCTTGCCTAGCATGTTGTTGTCTGCTCCCTCGACCGCACTGTCTACGATTGACCTGCGCAATATGTTTCACGATCGTCTCCGTTGGCTTGTGACGGGGCAACTAGGTCGGGTCGTGGACGCCATGCGCAAGGCAGTCGCACGCAAGCAGAGCCGTCGAGGACAGCTGAACGCCGGCGCGGGCGCCCACCCGAACGACGCAGTCGACCAGAGCCTCAGGTCGCTCGTCCGCGACCCGGACCTGGCGGACGAAGCCTGGGCAAACCACGTCACGAACCGTCTGAACCGAGGTCAGATTGCCAAAGCATTTGATGCCGACAAGGCTCGTGCCGTGATTGGTAATTCTGAGGTTCAGGCCGTGCGCGACCTCTTGGTACCGCCCGGGCTGACCCCGTACATTGCTTCAACACCCGCCTCCACGTCTACACTGGCACCAGCCACGGCTGCGAGCTCCCCAACCGTGTCCTTCACCAAGGGCGAGCTCCCTAAGGCGTTGGCGGCCACGAAGGGTGTCACCGACCCCTATGGTTGGTCTGGTGAGCTTCTTGCCTCCATCTACCGCATCAAGGAGCACTTCAGTCAGGTCTTGGGCCCACGCCAGGGTTCTACCAGCAACCCGACTGCTCCTCCTGATGGAGACGCGCCTCAGTGCCCCACCACCGCCACTGGAGGTCCTCAGGTTGCCTTGAACAAGATCTTTCACCACATTGCCAACAACACCGTGCCCGAGTCGATTCGACATGCCCTTTGCTCCATCAACTACACTATCCTGGAGAAGGCCAATGGCAAGTTTCGACCCGTGGGCACGGATTCCATCTTCAACAAGGTTGTCAACCGCGCTCTGCTCGAGCAACAGCAGCCCCATATTGCCCACTTGCTACAGGCCAGTCCAGAGCTGGCTGTCGGAGTCAAGGACGGCATTTCAGCAGCGGTTGGCATGGCCTTTGGTGAGCTTCAAGCCTGTGAGTCTACCCCGGGCTGGACCATGCTCTCCCTCGATTTCAAGAGTGCCTTCAACTACACCGACCGAGCACGGCTGCACGAGATTGTGGCCGACAAGGTCCCTGGCCTCTTGCGCGCCTTTGAACGACACTATGCTCGACCCACTACCCACTGCATTGTCGACAAGTTCTTCAAGGTGATTGACATTGATGTTGGCCAAGGCATTGTGCAGGGCAACGAGCTATCGCCCTTCTTCTTTGCCCTGTACTCCTGTGAGGTCCTGGGTCTCCTCGACGCCAGCACTGACTACCGC